TGTTTGTTTTGTTGAGGATCAAAAACAATGCGGAACGTGAAAATAACCGTTGTCAACTCAGCATTTTTTAAGTAAGTTGATTTAGCGAATAATTAGACTTCGTGCAATCCTTGCTGATAGGGTCAGCTTGAAATATTTGTAATTACGCTGAATTTTATGTCGAAAACAGTAGTTTTACATTTTGTATTTATTGTGTGAGGTATATGTACATAATGTAAACGACCGAAATTTTTTCCAGCAATAATTTTATGCTCTGAAGATGACTAGGTCGAAAAACCTTAAGGAATAAAGAACTTTTAACTATTTACATCACTTTAGTTCGTTCAATCATTTTACTCGTTACAAAGCAGTATTACTAAATTTCAGACTGAAAATAACCAAGACGGCGTCATTAATAGCTCTAAGCCTTACTCTAAAGCCTTTCAATAGTAAAACTTCCAAACCACGTATTTCGGGCTGCGGTGTTGGAGACTTCCTGTCATGCTTTATTTTTTAAATGAGAAACTACTCAATCGCAATTCTCGAAAACTGCCGCGATTTTTCCTCTCCGGGTGAAGAATATTTTGTGAACATTTTAAGGAATAATGATGATTTTTTCTCTCCTTAAAAACATTAAAATAGGAGTGGAGATTTTAAAGCATCGCAAACGAGATAGGTACGTGGTTTGGAAGTTTCACCATTTCTATGCACGAAACACTGGAAAAAAAAACCACATTGGATCTAGAGTCCAGACTCTTGAAAATATTCACAAGAAAAAATACTCTTGATTCAATCAGATTTTTGCTTATATTAAAAGGAAATCCGCTCAAATTAAGAGGCTTGATTCTTGATTTATCAAAATCCGATTAAATCAAGAGTATTTTTTCTTGTCGATGTTTTTGAGAGTCTGGACTCTAGATACATTGTGTTTTTTTTCCAGTGAAGGGTCGTATTCATAATTTTTTCTTAGTGAGGCTCATATGACTTTTATGCGATGGAGTCAGGCAAAAATGCTTTAAAATGGGCGTTAAATTTGTTCATTACAGCATAAAACCGGTCTGGGGTGAAAAATACCAATTCTCAGTTTTCTACGCTGAATACGTTCAAATACTCTTAAGGACATTAGGTCAAAGTTCAAAGACAAAGGTGGTTTTATTATGGTGATTTTAACAGCGCTTAAACTAAATTTTTCGAACAACCATCACAGCTTTGGCAAACGTTGTTTACTGTTTTTTCTTAATTTTCTACATTTTTCGTGCTCAAACTTGAACTGCCATCATAAGGGTATTCTTTGGACTTTTTGGTGTTATTTTAGCCAATAATGATGCAAAATTAACGCCCCTAACGATAACTCAAGATGTACAGTTAATTGATTCTTCCCTCGTCTTCACATACATTTTGCCTGACTCCATTGAGTTGAAAAAATCTCTGACATAGGATCGTATGAAGAGAAATTTTTACGAAATTCAAAAGCATTGCTTTAGAAATGGATACTACTAATGTCACATGAAATGTGCTGCAAAATACACAAGATAGAGATGAAAAAGTTCCATGATCTGAACGAACTTTAAAGTGGGTGCGGACCTGCTACCTTGATTTGCATGGGATTTTTTTCTTTAATATGTGTTCTTATAAAACGGTTGCATATACTTTTGGATTCGGCCCACTTATTTTATTAATAAAAAATCAGATTTTGAAAAGCGCAGGAATACAACTTACTGGAACTCATTAAAACTGTCAAAGTTTTTCACTTCAGTAAAATAATGGATAGCGAAAAATCCAAGTCTAATTCGTTCTAATTAATCCATTTTAAATTTCAGAGTTTTCTTCTCATTTCTTCTTTTTTCAAAATATCATTTATTCTAATATTTAAAATATATCAAGAAAAAACACAATCAGATCTAGGCGTGAAGTCAAACGTGAACTTCTGCTCCCAGCGAAGCAAGACTTTTTAGAAGTGATCGAACTAAAACGCAAAAATCATCACCAAAAACGACCTAGATAATTTAATCGATGATGAAAACGCATATTTTGATTTCAGAAATTGTAGACTTTCTGTGGAGAATCATTTGAATGCAGGATGACCAACAATCTTTGGCTTGTTAATAATTCTATGATTTTTCATGAAACTCCAATTCAAAATTATTTTTGAGTCAACAAATAGCTGATTCCTGATAAATAGCAAATAAGTTATTATTGCCCATAGCTCATTGAGTCATATATATTAAGCTTTCCTTTGAAAAAAGTATTAGTGAGTGTTAGATAATGTAGAATGAGCACAAGTAAATTATAATATAAGTGTAATGTTTAAAAGATAACTTTGAAAATAGCAGGAAATTAACTTGAAACAGCTATTCATTGATCTCTAGCTTCCACATACTTGAATAATTCGTCAAATTAATGCTACAATAACAGTAGCTATAAGCGGATTTTTGGGGAAGCAGAAATATATTGTAACGTGAACGTACATTTTTTGGAGGAAGTAAGTTTAATTTCTCCCACTGGAAGCAGTAACTTGTAGAGTCTCACTAAACTTTCTTCAAGTGTCTTGAACCATGTAGTGAATAGTTATTATTGCTTTATCAATGGTTAACGAGAAAGAGAATATATTTCTACGTATTCTTTAAAATAAAAAATTAAATGAACATGAGAAAATCCCAAGAGTTTTTTTTAATTCGATTTTATAGAAGTTTTCATTTAGAATCTGATCGTCAATTTTAAATTAAGCAGACATGACTTCACCTTTACTTTAAAAATCTTTGTTATAATCAGGAAAATCAATTTCTTAAATGAAATACGTCGAGCAAGGAAAATGAAAACATAGGTTTTTCAGAGAATTATTTTTTTCTATTTTATTCGATTTTCTTTTCATAGCATAAAATTTGCGATTCGTTTTCTTAAGTATGTACACACATATTATACAGGATCGAAACAAGTTTTCACATGAATCATAAATTTTGGACAATTAACACTTCGAATTTATATATACAATATAACTAATCATATAGATAATTTTAAAAATTTTCTACAGAAATTGCAACAGGACGATCACAATTACAAAACATGACTCTAAATTTAAAAGATCAGAGGTAATTTGATAATGCACGATTGAAACAATTCAAATTTTGAAGAAGAGCTTGAAATCAATAGTAGTAATCAATGAATCATAATTCTTTTTTTCAAAATTTCGAAATATTTCCTGATTTGTTTCAATGATAGTGAATTTGTCTGAGAATACAATGACAGATTTTGAATTTTTTTACATTACATAGAGTTACCATACTGAAAAGCAAATACGAGAAGAGATAAACTATTAAAATGTGATATTCATTTCTAAAAAATTGGGCATTTTTAGTGTAATTTGGATGGAATAAGAAAATGTAAGTTTAAGACCACCTTATTTTGTATGAAAAATTTACTCCTTTATTTTGCATAAATCAAATTTTAATTCAGATGTAATGAAATTAATTTGAAACATATTTGGAAATGTAAAGTCTGAAGCTGATTTTATCAGCAGAAAATTTTAAAGTGTTCGTCAACATTAACAACCTAAAACTAAAAAAGGAACTGTCGAATGAAGGATTACCAACTAAAAATTATTTTTAAGAGAGAGAAAGACGTATTTAAGTTTGGATGTGCGGGGTTCACATGCCAGCCAGAACATAGTATATACTATAAGTTAAGTACTACGCGAGATAAATCAATATAATAATAACGACATTTGAAAAATATCAAATCAAAATCTTATGACATAAGAGATCAAATGAAAATTTAAGTAACTTTCTTGTTATTGATGCACAATACATTGGCGATCTTTCTTAACTTGCAATTTATTAAAATCAAATTAATTGCAATTACTCCCTCGCACAAGAGTCTGTACCGATACTAAACCTTATCCTTACTACAAAGTTAATTTGTGTTAAGAAGATTTTTAATTGTTCTTTGAAATTTAAACAATTTATATCTCAAATAATCTTGAAATCCACTAAGAAATAGGATGAAAATAAGGTAGTTTATCAAATTATTATTGTCAATACGTATTCATTTCAAAAACAAATTAAAAGCATTTAAACACTTCTCTCCTTGAAGCTAAAAATCCACCGAGCATCAAGCGAATGTAACTATGAGTTTACAGCCGTTGCTCAAAACATAAATCTCTCTGAAGTCGTCAAAATGTATAATTTACTCTTAATATAAAAGGAAACCCAAAATAATAATAACATCAAATAAACATATAACTATATCACAGAGACAATTATATTATCCTGGCAGTATGGAGAACGCGTTGAATTACATCATCCTTGGAGGAATATTTTTACAAAAATTAAGAACTAAAAGAAATGGGATAAACAAAAATTTTGGACACAACTGTAGGACATACATCTAAAATAAACGGCAATTTTCAGCTTTTAGCTGACATTTCAGGGCAAGCAGTTGTTTTTACATGAATATCTGAACCACCATACAACCTTTATGACCTCTAGAAACAAATGAATTAATGTAAAACTGCAATATCGAGAGTTAATACTCTCTACAGTAGAATTATAGATAAGAAATTCAACATGTTGAGAGGTATTGTGCAGGTATTAAGAGAAAATAAATAAGATGATACACAATAAATTATTTCTTTTGCCGATATCAAGCAAATTTGACTGTAGGAAGTTAAGAACAACGTTATAAAGCTCACTTATTACCAAAGTACGGTTCCTTTAGATTTAGATCAACACATTTCAGTTTGGCACTTTAAATGTGTAGTCGAACCTTCCGTCAATTCAATTAATGTCCTCCCGTGCTAAAGAATGAACGCCGTGTGAGCATTCTGCTTTTGCTAAATTTTCCCTAACAAAATATTTATTTTTAAGGAAAGTTACGCAAATTTTTCCTTAAAAATTTTCAGATGTTTTACATCAAGATGTGAACAAAATTGTCCGAATAATCGAAGGAAAAATATTCAGAATTTTCTCGGTGAATCCGTATTTTATCAAAGAAAATATAACAATTTCTAACGGCTTATACGGCGTTTTTCCCCAGCAAAGAAGTGCAGATCTCGAAAATTATTTTCCAATCTGTGCGACACAGGCGAAAATTTAGGGGTCTACTTTCGAACGCTCTCCAGACTGCCAAGACATCAAAAAATAAAACAAACTAAACACAGCGACCAAAGGCTTCAAACCGCCCTCAGGGGGGCGCTGTTGAACCTAAACAAATATTGCGACGCGTGGAAATACGGGGGTGGGTGCATGGGAACAAGTGAGGGGTGCGGGGGGAGGTAATAAGGTATGGGGGGCGAGGGGCTACAGCTGGTGACCACCGCCGGCGTTTGGACTAGGCTCTTGGGCTTATCGGGCGAAATCAAACTTTCAATATCGAACGCCCTTTTAGGCCGCGGTGGGGGCGGCTCCGAGGAGATGGGGCTCGGGGGCTGCGGCGAAATCATGGGGGGCTCCCGACAGGGCGCCTCGTCGATCATAGGGGGTGAATTTGGGGTGAATAAAAACCTGTTCATGTTGGCCAGGGCAGCGAGCTCGTTCTCCAACCGGTCCTTGTCTGTCTTCATGAGCTTGAACCTCTTGCGACGCCTCAAAAGGGAGCCGTTCTCGAACATGTCCAGGGCAGCCGGGTGGAGCGCCCAGTAGGCGCCCTTTCCAGGACGATCAGCCCTTCGAGGGATCTTCACAAAACAATCATTGAACGACAGATTATGTCGTAGGGAGTTCTGCCAGCGTTGGGTGTTCCGCCTATAGTACGGGAACCTGTCGCTGATGAAGCGGTAGATATCAGACAAGGGTAGCATCTTATCCGGTGAACTCCAGATAGCCATCGCCGTCAGGGAGATATACGAGTAGGGCGGCTTTTGGTCGCCGTAGGTTTCTCGACACGGCCGAGGCATCGTTGTAAATTTTACGATTTACTAAACCGCACAAGAAGTAAACGTCTGGGCACTGCACAGTTCACTGAGTTCCGATCCACACTAAACTCGGCGTTTGGATTTCGGGGAGATTTAAGCACGTTGTGGGGATTGGAGCTATTATCGATATAGAGCACGGAAAGGTCAGGGGCCCGTTGAGGACGAGGAGAAACAAACCACTAACTCGGAGCGGTTCCAGGAGCGGCCACGACGCGGGCCGGGAGAAGGAGTCGCGGGTCCTGCGCGGTGATTGGTTGGTGGTGGCGGTCCAATCCGGGAGCGGGGCGGGGCCGGCGCTGATTGGCTCGTTGAGGGCCCTTCCCGCGGTTTCAACACTCCTCTCGTTTGTGTTTATTTATCGCTCGCCGCGTCGTGATTCTGCGAGGCCCCGCGAGCGAGTGGGTGGGTGGGAATCTCGCTGAGGGGATTTTCTGCGGGGGTGAAAGTCGGGAGGTTCTTGAATTTCAAATCATATAAAATTTTTCTTTAAATTAAATAAATTACTGGAGATCATTTAAATCGTTACAGAGTGCACCATGGGTGGGGAGAGGAACTAAAATCCTTATTAGGTATTTTTTCGTTTAGTAAATTTCAAGCGAGAAAAAACACTAAAAAAAATATTTATGAAATTTTTCAGGAGTAACACCATTTTTAATATGTTGATTTGAGTAGGTAAGGAGTCAAGGTGTTATGTTCATTTTTATTTTATTTTAAAAAGTTTTGTTTATAAAGCTGAAGCTTTTTGGCTGATGATGGCCAAAAGCCGGAAAGCTTCAGCTTTAAAAAGAAAATGTTTTAAAATAAAATAAAAGTGAACATAATACTTTGGCTCCTTACTCAAACTAACTTATAAAAATAATGGCCTAAACTGTATAACAAAGTGGAAAAATGATGCTGGGTCCATCATTTCGCGGGGAAAGTAAACTAAGCCGAGAAATTCCGAATTTACATTGACTCTAATTGAAAATGTTTGGTATTTCTTGGCTTTATTTTGCCCGCGAAATGGTGTGGGCCCAGCACCATTTCTCCACCTTGTAAATTTAGAGTAAGGTGTCTAATGGAAATTAAATAGTCAAAACTTAGTCATAAATTTAAAAAATTATCTTTAATTTACTATTTCTAATTTGGCAGAAATGCAGGACATTTAAGAGTTTTAATACACATTGATCAATATTCTTTTATAGAAATAAATAAGTGAGGTAAATTAAGGTTTCCAGATACTGCTAGATTTGAGGGGCTTGTAGAACAAGGCGCATAGGTGCTGTTTTTGAAAAAATTGAGATATTAATGATTTCAAGTAAATGTAGTCTTAATGCACATTCTGTGAAAAATTCTCTCCCAAATTCCAATTCTTAAGCATCAAAAAAGCAGTTTGAACTTTCTTTCCGTCATAAGAATCCATGCAATTCCGAAACCTCAAACGGGTATTTCTCGAAATAGCAAAAACTGCACTTATGCGCCTTGTCCTTCAAGCCCATCATTTATTATACATTAAATGACATTATTCAATACATGCCTCAGTAAAAAAAGAAAGTTATTTGTAACGTACGAACGTACGTGCAAATGATGAGCAATGATGAGGAACAGAGAAAATTTAAAAATTCCAAAGACGAGGTACTAACTTCTCGAGCAAGACATCAAAAATTTCGATTTTTCCTCCTTGTTTGTTCTTTTACTAAAAATCGTTTAAAACTAATACCGCTTACTACTTATTTCATCTTATTCTTTTACTGTTTTTATTCTATTTATATCTTGTATATTATTCATGGGGAAAATGCTTGGCTCAAACATGGTGATTTTTGAATTTGTTGCTAAGGATTTTTTTATCATTATTTTTATCTTAAGATTCAAGCTGAGTTTCCATAAGAATGGGAAAAAATGTTCGTATTCAACAAAAATGTAGCTTGAATTAATTAAGGAGCATCATTCTTGATTCTAGACAACATGTACTGATTTGCAATTTTAATAATTTTCTCTCTTTGATATATACTCAACGGGTTATTCAAACAGTGCGGAAAAACGAAAATTCTAATTGCTTCTGCAATTGCCAATAAAAAGGTGGCATCATCTATCTTCATACAGCACGCATAGAAATAAGTGTAGACATGTTTTGAAATGCAACTATTTTAACTTCAATGCACACGTTGGGTATCAGAATGTATTGAAGGAGATTTTCGAATATAAATAAATTAATTATTATATGATAAGACAACTGATAAAAATATTGAGCATTTTGGTGAAGAGTGAAGATAACTGATGAATTAGTCATAAATCTAATAGTTATTTCATTTGATGGAATTAGGAGCATATTTCACATTACAGGCTAAAACTTCATGCTTTCAAAAAGTGAGACTCGTCTCAATTGTAGACTCAAAGCTTTTATCATGTGTAGCTTCCAAACTTCATAAAAAATTCAAACAACGAAAAAAGTCACACTAAGCAATAAAAGAAACAGGAAGTGGAGTGCTAATCGGTAACATCAAAGTATAATTTTGAAACAGTATTTTTTTTAACCATGCTATTTTTTTATTTCGTAATCCAAAAATTTTAGTTGTAGTTAAAAAGAGCAAAACTACTTCTCTTTGGTTGAGAGGAGCAGAATTTAAACTCGACGTGTATCATTTTTTTTTCCTTCGCTTTTTGGAGCAGAGTTGAATTTATATACGCGTTGCATATGACGACATTTTGGCGGGTTATAATGGAGTTCAAAACAACATTAAACTTTAGTGACACTCGTAAAATTGTTGTTTCAATTAATTGAAAAATAAGGCGAGTAGGTAAAAACAAAAATACGAATTTGAATATAGTAATGAAGATACTGAACAAACATTTAACTTATTTGATGCCTATCTCTTTACTCTAGATTAGGATATCGACGGTGAAAATCCCAAACCATGTATCTCTGTTGCGGTGTTCTTAAATTTCCGCTCCTATTTTACTTTTTAAATATGAACGAATCAACATCGTTTAATAAAGTTATCACAGGAATTTTCTTTGCCTAGAGAAGCAAATGTGCCCCCCCCCCCCCAAAAAAAGGGACGCTACCACTTTTTCATGTTATACAAAAGAGGGATTTTCGTTGTCTCTGAGGCGGACAACTCTAGAAACAAAATTATCAATCAGTGTGCTCTGAGTTGCGCGTGTTCGTGTTTCTTTCCCAACAACTCAACAGAACGCCTTCCAATAGACGCGACGCAATTTTTAGTACACCATCGAACCGAACACACGAGACCACAGCCACCAGCTAAACTGCCAGAGCCAACTCTTCTTACAGCGAGAGGTAGGTGTGGTTCGTATTGAGGGAAGTAGAAAGATCAGTTCAACTTATTTTATGTTCATAGAAGGTCAAATATTCCAATCCTCACCAATTTATTTATGCAGAAAACCGTTCGAAGAAAGAAAATAAAGAAGTATACTGCCGTGCAACGCAAAAACGCAGTAAACGCCATTTTACATTTTTTGGAAAGAATGTATCATAGCAGAAAAATTTGTGTACAATGTTTTTACAGAATTCTTTCGCAAATACCATCAAGAACTTAACCTATGAACATTTGAGGTGCATGAATAAAACATAGTTTTTATTTTATCAAGTGTTAAGTTCCAAAAAACGAGGGAAAATCTAGATGGATTTACGGCGTTCTTGCTTAGCACGGCAGTATATAGATATAAAGGGCTTGGGGAACAAGGCGTATAAGTGCAGTATTTGCTATTTCAAGAAATACTTGTTCAAGGTTTAAAAATTACATGGAGCATTATGGTGGAAAGGAAGTTCAAACTCACATTTTAAAGTTTTAAAGTTGGATTTCAGCTGTGAATTTTTCACAGAATATACTTTCAAAGTATAGTTTTAGTTGAGTTCATGAATATCTCAATTTTTTCAAAAACTGCACTCTTGCACGCCTTGTCCTCCAAACCCCTCACACAATGTTACATAAACTGGGCCGTATAAAACGCATGGTCTGTTCTGCCGTGCTAAGGAAAAACGCCGTATGAGCATTCGAAAGTTGCCAAATTTCTCTGGACAAGTAATGACTTTTTGAAGAAAGTTATGTGAACTATTCTTTGATATTTACAGATATTTCAGATTAAAGTGCGAATAAAATAGTCTCAACAATTTGAAGGAAAATATTCAAATTTTTCGCAATTAATTCGTTTTTTATTTAAGGAAATACGGCAGCGTCTGAAGGTTCATACGGCGTTCTTCCTTAGCACGACACTGTTAAAGTACATAATGTCGCTCCTTTGACATAAGGGCGTATCTCGACTTCCGCATGAACCCCAGAAAGCATGAATTTATATGTAAAACAGGGCTCACATGGAAATGAACTTAATGTTGTGGAGACTGGGGTGGGGACTCGGATTCGCTTTGTTCTTCGGATTTGGTTCTCCTAAAAAATGTTCTTTGGAAAAAATTCGGGCCGGACTTGCGGATACTTTTCTTCCCTTCCAGCTTCTCTATAGCTCTCGTTCTTCTCTCTGCATCGGCGATGATCCCTTTGATACACTGCTCCCTCTCCTCCTCAACTTGGTTCTGTAGCTTTATGAAATTCTTCTTCTCCCGATGGGTCATCCTTCTTCCCACCTAAAAAAAACCGAACATCGATAGATATATTTCATGGAAGATTCAAAGAACCATGCTAAAAGTATTCCAAGAGGAAGTGCAGTTTAATTGCGGCCTTCATTTTGCCATCAGGAACTATAATTTTTTACTCAGTTTAGAAACAACGTATCCCCATTAGTTTCCCCATACGCACATAAATGTTCTGTACAGATGAACCAGAAAGTCTAGTTCCAAATTGCAAGATGTAGTGAAATTGTAATTCGTTTACTTGCATAAGAATGAGTGCCATTTTCATAGACGGAAATAAAGAGATGATATCTTTCATTTCAAAGACAGTGGCGTAGCGTGATTTGCGATGTCGCCTTATCGGCATTCTAAACCCATGGAAAAGAATCGATACACAGGGTGTTCGCAACAACGCTTTAATAATTGACTCTTTACCATAGTTTTAATGTAATTCGAAGTATAATTGAAATGTTGACATTAAAATTTCAATAAAGTGCAAATTTTGTTCGATAAAGTATCAATTTTAAAAAATCGATAAAATGAGTTTTATGTTTTAATTTGAATTCAAGAAATCAATACGCAATCTTCAATGCAGAAA